ACACCAAAGTGAGAAGGGAGAGGGCTCCTTGAACCTCAGAGTCATACCTCCTAAAGGGACAACCAGCCTCCCAGATACACCTTGTTTTGCCTCATCTGAATCCTTAGAAGGCAGAGAGAGGAGTAAACTCAAATCTGCCCTGGGGAATTTCCAGGTTGTTGCAGAAAACAAGATACTCTGAACCCAGACTTAGATATAAGAGCAGGCAGAAGTTGAACTTGGAGTAGTTCAACTGACACCCTAGAGATAGACTGCTTCCTGGATTGAGTTGTAATGGCCTGGAATGTGGAAAGGAGCTCAGCTCAGCCTGCCAGAGTCCTTGAGTCTTAGGAAATTATTTTTATTTTTCGATTGTTGAATGGGAAGTTACCAAAGGCAAGGAAAAGGTGGGAAACTTACGGTCAAAAGAAAGGACTCCTTCAGACACTTCGCAATCTATAAGCAGTTGGCTATAATCTGAGTAATATGTAATAGCTAACATGTCAAATAGTCACATGTCAAATATCAAGTGCTTACTATGGACAACGCACAGGAATATAAGAAAGACATGACCTTCCCCTTTATGAAGCCAACATTCTCATGATATGATCTCACTTCATCTTTTCAACCCTTAAACATACTATTAGTATCCCAATTTTAGAAACGAAACAAGACTCAAAAGAGATTGGCACATGGCAGAACTGTCACTGGAAACCAGGTGTTTTGCCTTTGGATGCCATCCTCAGGCTGCTCAATTTACAGGGTTCCTAATAAACCACTCTGACATCTGTGCCTCCCCACTTCCTGCTGGCCTGCCCACTTCACTTAAAAAAGAGCGGGAACACTTTTGCTCAGGCCTACTCCTCTGAAAAGCTAGGAATGAAAGTCTGGTGACTTAAACACAATGGAAATGAAGCATTCTTGTTTTATTTTCAAGTTCCACCCAGACTCAACATGAGACTGAATTCAAACTGGCTTTATTGTGTTTTTACAATATGATACATCTTCACATTTCAAGCTAATGTTTTTACTGTTTGTGATTGCTCTGTGGCAAACTTCTCAGGTTTCCCCTGAGAAAGGGCATTGTTTACCAGTCCTTTGCTGGCCTTTTCCTCTGTTGACTTTTACTCAACTTGTTACCCAGAGGGTTCAATCAACAATATTTAGAGAAAAACTCCTTTGTCCAGGATTCCGGCTGGACCCAAGAGGGAATTTAGAGATGAGTAAGAGACATTCTTGTCTGCCAAAAGCTTAAAATCTAGTTTGTTTGTTTTTTAAAGTAAAATGATCTGAGAGATCTGCACATTTGTGGGAATTTAGAGGACAGAAAGATTGGGAAGAGTTGAGGGAGGTTTTGTAGTTGATGCAGAATTTAAGATAGGAATTGTGGCTAATTAGTAGTTCCTCAGGCAAGTAGTAAGAGAGCATTCTAGCTGAGGAATGCCAGCATGAACAATGCATGGTGCCTGGAAATCCTTTTAGGCAGAATAGTAAGAAATGCAGCTGAGCTGGAGCACAGGGAGTGATGGAGGGAAAGGCTGGAAAGTATATTAGAGCCATATCAAGGAGAGCCTACTTTAGCATATATCCTGAAAATAAGGATCTCTTACATAACTATAATATCATTACTGTATACCTAAGAAAAAAATTATGAAATTCCATAATATCTAATATTCAGTCCCTATTCAGGTTACCCCAATTGAGAGAATTAACTAAGGTATAGTAAATGATTATGAAGAAGGATCGTGGTGAGAAACTATAGCCACCAAACATGTCTGCAGTGATTTTTTTTTTTAAATCTATACCCCAATCTATACAAAAAGTAAAATAAATCAGTGAATACTGGAATATTCTTCACCTGTTTCACCAATTGTTAACATTCTGCTACATTTACTTTCTCTCTTGTCCCTGCTCTTTCTAAGTATCTATATTCTAACTTTTCCACTGCTAATCCAGGTAAATTGAGGAGAGTTCTTAGTGCAGGACTTTAGAGATTGGTATTACATGGGCCTTCATTAGAAAATGATCCAAACGTAGAATTTATTCTTTCAACAAACATCTGTGGAGCATCTGTATATCCTCTTCCCTCCAGGAGCTCTAGTTGAGGATGAATGTCTACAACTTAGGTCCACAAGGTGAAACATGGCCCTGTTGCTTATGGCAACAAATCATTTTGGCCCAGGGCACTGAGTTATATTTCCAGGATTATAATACTCATCTTTTCAGTTTCAGAATTGAAGATGAGAGTGTTCTCTGGCACACACACTCCCACACCTTTCAAGCCTTTTTGCCTTGAACCTTTTGGGGATTCGGGATAGAGGTCTGCTTCAGGGTGTGCCATACTGACTCTGGACTCAGTTGACTCCTCTATCCTATTGGCCCCTTCCATCTAAGAAGAACCGTGCCCCAAGCAAAGGAAGGGAGGGGTAGCAGGAAGGAAATGAGAGCTGTGGTAACCACTAAACAAGGTGGTTTTGCAACTTTCTGATAGAGGACAAAGTTCTTCTGAGGGAAGAGGGTGGAGCCAGGGAAGATGGCAGATTCTGCACACCCAGGACTGGGTGTTAAGTAAGATGGAGTTAGAGACATAGACAAACACTTATGGTTAAACTGAAAAGGAAATAAAGACATAGTTACAGGAAAGGGAATGGAACTAGACATAGTGATAGTGGATTTGTATTGAGTACTCAGCTTAGGGCAACACTGTGAAATCTATTTACATGTATAATATTGTTTAATTTTACCAACAATCCCAGGAGATACTATTGTCTTAATGGGGAAAGGGAGTTCTGTAAACTAAAGCTTAAGTCAGTGGTCCCCAACCTTTTTGGCACCAGGGACCGGTGCTCCTATGAGAATCTAATGCCTGATGATCTGAAGCGGAGCTGAGGCGGTGATGCAAGAGCTGGGGATTGGCTGCAAATACAGATGAAGCTTCACTAAGAGCTGGGGATCGGCTGAAATACAGATGAAGCTTCACTTGCTTTCCTGCTGCTCACCTCCTGCCGTGTGGCTGGTTCCTAACAGGCCACAGGCCAGTCCCAGTCCACAGCCCAGGGGTTGGGGATCCCTGGTTTAAGTGATTTGCCCAAAGGCTTATAGCCAGTAAGTAGAAGGGCAAAGAAGGGGGCATATATCTATTCATCTGACTCCAGAGCCCTTGATCTTAACCACTATAAAGAGATCTCCAGAAGTGAGGGACACTAAACCCAGGATTAAAAATGAAGACATTTGGGTCAGAATCTCTACGTAGAACCTTTCTCACTCCTAATACCTGGGCAGTCTTGCATGCGATTCAAAGCCCTTCACAATGAGACTCTTAGTCTCCCTTTCTAGTTCCTTTGCCCAAATTCCCCACAATATACCCTAAACTAGCCATGCTGAGCCATCTATCTCAGGAAGCTATTGTAAATCTGCATACTCCTTTGCCGATGTTGTCTTTGCCTAGAATCCTCTTTCCACCTTCACCCTTTAAATCCTATTCCAATCTAGCAAAATCTTATTTCAAAGCCCAGCCCATTGGTCCTCTCCTGTATCAGTCTCACTCCCCTTCATGTTATAAGTATTAAGTATCTATTTGCTAGATACTGAGAAATCTAGATGAGTAAGGCAAGTACCCAGTCCTCAAGGAGGTCATGGTTTAGGAGACATAGATAGATAAATATAAATAAAACAGTAACAGAAGTGCATAAAGGTACAGAAGTTGAAAGTGCTTAGGAGGGAGTGATAACTTGATTGATAAGATGAAGTAGATATGATTAAGTGTCACAACAGATATAGAGTATGAATATGAATTGCTTTTTTTTAGTGGCCTGACAGACAAGGTGGGGAAGAACATTTCAGAAAAATGAAACAGCATCTACAATAAGCAGAAGTGTATAGCTTATTCAGGAAATGAATAAAGTATTAGGGAGAAAGACTTGCAGGAAGGAGGACCAATGAGACCTGAAGCTAAATGACAAGTTAGATCATTAAGACTTGTATGCATGCACAGAGAGCTTAACTATAATTTATAGATACATAATAGGTATTTAATAAAAAATTGTTGAGCAGATAAATGGAAAATTATTAGAAGGTTTTAAGCAGCAGCATGATAGGACCATTATAGCAGACAAGGTGAGAAACAGTCAGGGGCTGGACTGAAGCTATGGCAATGAGACTGGAAAGCGTGGGATGATTTCCAGAGATGAACCTGCTGAGGGATTCAATGAAGGAGGTGAGAGAAAAGTAACCGAGGGCAAGAAGCTCCTGAGATTCCAGCTTGGGCCTGGGGCATGGTGGTGCCTCCTTCCAAAATGGGTTACAGGTAGAAGAGTCAGGACTTTCTTATTTCCTCATAATTGACTGTCTCCTATGAGAATAGGTAATATATATTTTTCATTTTCATATCCTTTGCATTAGCACTGAGACCAGTATGATGGTTGGCTCTCAGGATCCTGATGGAGAAGAGATAGACATGCATAGCATTCATCTCTGAGTTTCAAATGCATTTTATCAGGGCTTCTCAAAGTTTTCCACAAAGGCCCTCCTCATAAGGGAAGAGTCTCCTGCCTACCTCTCTATCTAACTTCATCTATCTACAAGAATCTGTGGCTATGGCTGGAAGAGGGTCTCTCAAGTGAAAAATTTCTTCAAGGCTCATGTTTTATCTTTAAAAGCCATGCACATGTTACATTCTTCTTATTAATCCTTTTTAAAATATAATACTCTCCCCATATCTTGACAACCGCCACCCCGCCAAAAAAAAAAACCTCTAAATAACAATGTCATTCCAGGTTTTATATATATCCCCTGGCACACTGTTGCCTACCCCAGGAGTATCTGAATTTGAGAAGAACCACAGAACATGATTGTTTATTCAGCAATGTGCTATATTTCTCTTTCTATTGGGCTGATATGAGTATGGCAGCTCTTTAGTTGCATCTGAGACTCTGAAAGAAGCCAAGGTCATATGACTGTAACCTTATGGACCATTCCCACATGACTGTAACCTTATGGACCATTCCGACTTATATCCCCAGGTACTACAGAAGTTGGGGAAAACTGTGGAAACCAAAGATGAACGGTTCGAACAAAGTGCCAACAACTTCTACCATCAACAGGTAATCTGGAGGTTGGGGAAGGGAGCTTAGAGGAAGAAAGAAGACATGAGGGCTGAGTGGCAGAGAAACAGCAGATTCTTCAAACCAGCAAGCATCCCTACTAACCCATCCTCCCCCAGGGGTAAAGACCACAGGGTGCCCTGCTGCTCATCCTTTCCCTGGAACCAGAGAAACATACCTTTCCTGTTCCTGACACTGGATTCTGGGGAGCAGATGAGTGTTGTTTTCTCTTAGTGGTTCCCCCAGGGTACAGTGGCATCACCAGGTCCTTACAGAAAATCAAAATGAGTCCCTGCCACTTTGTTCACTTCCCAGTGTACCTCTCTCCCACTCTAGGGCTCTTCTCACTTCGATAGCCCCCGTGTTTTCCTTGTGGCCACTACCTCTCCCTTAACCTAAGCCCTTTATTCTAAAATAATACCTCCATCTTTCACCATTCTCATCAACAAACCTCTTTTCTCACTATTCCTTCTGTCTTCACTGGATATTATGGCTAATTATATGTAGAAAATTCACATTTAAAAGTGGGTAACACTATGGCCATGCCACCCTGAATGTGCCCAATCTCATCCGATCTCGGAAGCTAAGCAGGGTCGGGCCTGATTAGAACTTGCATGGGAGACCACTGAGGAATACCAGGTGCTGTAGGCAGTGAAAAAAAAAAAAGTGGATAACAGAGGTTTAACCTTCTGTAGAATATTCGACCTTCTGTCTCCATATGCCATTCATTGTGCTCAGTGCTTTATACACATCTCATTTAATTCTTACACCAGTCTTGGAGATTGTGATTCCTTCTTAATAATAGAAGGGAGTTGTTAACTTAAATGAATATCCAGTTACATTGCAGTTCTAATACTGACTACCCAGAGTTTGGTCAAATTTCACAAGTTAGGTCAAATTTCACAGGTTAAGGGTACAGTCCCACATTAGACTGCCTCACTTCAGACACCAGCCACAAGCCCTGGAGTTCTTAGGCATCCTACATTTCTGACCAACTGGCTACCTGTTCAGCTTTCCTAATTCACTAGAATGACTCACAAAACTCAGGAAAGTGCTCTGCTTACAATTACAGTTTTATTATAAAGAATACAAATCAGGACCAGCCAACTGAAGACAAATAAGGTGAGGTCTGGGAGGGTTCCAAATGTGAAGCTTCTGGGTCCTTAAGACACGTCATCCTCCCAGCACATTGATGTAAGTATTACCAATCAGGGAAGCTCACCCAAGCTTCAAGTGTCTAGAGTTTTTATTGTGATTTCATTACATAGTGAATCATTGGCCATGTAATTGAACTTAATCTCTAGCTCCCTTAATCTCATCCTCTCCTGGAGGTTGGGCCAGTACTACCTGTCTCAGAATCCTAGCCCTCTAATCTCGTGGTTCATCTTTCCAGCCTGATCAGCCACCATCCTGAGGTAATGTCTGAGGGGCCCACCATGAATAACAAAGACACTCTTGTCACTCAGGAAATCTCAAGGATTTGGGGGTGACTTCCCAGGATCGAGGGAGAAAGACCAGCCAAAATCTTTATTGTACAACATCAGTCAGTTAATTGAATTAGATGGAAGGTAATCTTTAGAATTATATTGAAAGGATATTAGCTATCATCTAATTCAGTAGTTTCCTGTATATCAGAATCATCTGGAAATATTTTTAAATGCAAGGTCTTTGGTTGGAGGGCCTAGGAATCTGTACTTTTTACTTGTTTTAATGGAAAACTTCACATATATACAAAGATAGAAAAACTTGTATAATGAATCCATATGTACCCATCACTCAGCTTTGATAATTTATCAATTCCTGAGAGTCCTGTTTCACCATTGTCTCCACCAACTTCCCTCCATCCTTGATTATAATGAAGCAGATAAATTCTTTTTATCTATAAAAATTTAGTTATCTATCTCTAAAGATAAGGACTCTTAAAATATAACCACAAAACCATTATTGTACCTAAAAATATTTTTCTATATTCACACTCCCCTAATTGTCTTTTTTTTTACAGTTTGTTTACATCAGCAACTTGTTAACATATAAATCTCTTAGCCTTAAGATTAAATCTCTTAATCTGTAGATTTCTAATCCCTCCTTTTTGAAGTTTATTTGTTAATGATATTAGGTTTTCCTGCAGTTTCCTGCAGTCTAAATTTTGCTGATTAAATCTCTTTGGTATTTTTTGACGTGTTCCTCTGTCTCTCGTATTTTCTAAAAATTAATAGTTAAATTTAGAACCTTGATGAAATTAAGATTTTTTTGTTTTTGTTTCTTTTGGTGGCAAGAATATTTATTGTAGGTGTTCTGTCCTTCCATCTGGAAGATGGCACATAATATCTGGTTGTTGTCTGGTTTTTTGTGTGATATTAACAGCTATCGATGATCATTAACTCAGGAATCTGTGTTTTACATTAAACCTACTAGGTAATTATGATGTAGCTGCTAGTCTGAGAACAGCATTTAGCAACCACTGATCTAGTCTGACTCCTTTGATGAGAAACAGAATCTGACTCAGAGAGAAGTGATTTCATCAAGATAACATAGCATAAGAGTTACAGAGCTAGGATTCAAACTTAAACCCTGTGCTTTTCCCCCTGTACCTCAGTAGGAGGTCTCCCTGGGCCCCTTCTCAACTCCAGTTACTGTTCTGCTTCCAACTTCAGCATGAAAGGAATAGGAATCAGTAAGCTGACACCCACTTTGGAAGGTTTCCAGCTCTTGTCCCATTCTGTCTCTCAGTACTTTCCCTCTCTTCCTTATAGGATGGATCTACAATGGCAGATATGTGAGTAGAAAGGGTAAGAGATGAAGGAGGGGTCATCAAGAAGAAAAAGAAGATCAGATAGGACAGTTTCTTCAGAATTCCCCGTGCAAGCCCACCAACTAAACACTTGATAGGGGAAATATATTTGAGAAATAAAATGGAGTTAGATTAGTAATAGGGAAAAACTTTTCCCCTGAGATACATCACTATATATAGATATAGATACATCTGTAGTAACTAGTGTTTGAACATGCTTGGAAAGCTCATTTAATACATTTCATCAGTGCCTGCTGCATGCAGGCACTGTGCTAGATGCTGGGACTTCAAGATGAATAAGACAACATACCTACCCTCAAGGCTGTCCCAGTTTAAGAAGAAAGACAGTGACAATACAGTCAGGTCTGAGGCTCAACCTGGGGTGGCTAAGACAAATAGGAGGAAAGAGGACAAGATAAGTTTGATTCAAAGTGAAGTATTCCAGAAATTGGACCGCTTGGTCATGTGCCCTATTCTTCACCCACAATTACTTTGTAGGTAAACTTTTTATTAATAAATAAATATCACTCCCAAACTTCCCAGCCTGATTTCAAGGACTTGCCACTTGCCTGTGTTCCTAATCAAATTTCCATGGGTAATTTTTCTTTGAGGGCTCTGCTTGCTTCCCTCTTTTCCTCTCTCCAAAACATATAGGGAAAGTTCTTTTCCTCAAGCAGCACTTTAATCTCTTATTTCTGGTAGTGACAGCTTCTTCCAATTCATTGCCTTTAAAATCACATCCAACAATCAAGCTTCATCTTTTCCTTCTGGACCTCCATTAGGCAAAACACTTTCAGCACTTGCTCAGGTTGGTCATGCTATTTACTTGTTTTGCTGAATGCTTGGGTTTCTCTGAGTCCATTTTTCTCCAGCAAGTAGGGAACCCCAGGATAGGGACCTTTTTCTCTATCCTCAGTACCCCAGTCTCTTAGGACATAGTTTTGTCTACCTATCTGAGTGCTTTGGTCAAGCTTCCAGAGTGAGTGGTTCATTAACTGAGAGCTGGGGCTCTTTGTATAAGGGATGGGAAGGACTAACTCAGACTCTTTATAGTGCTGCCAAGAATTTGAAAAGGAGTCACAGAGCAGAAGTGATAAAAAGATCTGGAGCTAGAAATGGCTTTACTTGGCATTTATAGATGAGGAAACTAAAGCCAGAGAAGTGGAAAAACTTGCTCCTCGATAGTAGAGACAAGTTTTTAACTGTGAGACAAGTGTGAACCTAAGACTGTGACAGTTACATCTGTCAGGAAAGAAGTAATGTGCTGGGATTATTCAGCCTGGAGACATTTCAGGGAGGACAGACAGGTCAGAGAAATAAAATGACACCCAATACTGTCTCCCCGCCCCCACTCCCCACCCCACGTACTTTATCTCCTCAAAGAAAGAGCAAGAGCATAAAGGAAGAACTTTGACCAGGGGGCTTGGTTCTAAAATACAAGAATGGATTTGTGAGGTAAAATGGAGGACAGAAGGCATTCACATTTTATGGACTATGGTATAAATAGTACCCTCTAGTTTTGAACAGTGTGAACCTGCACAATCATATATGGTAGCCTTGGTTATTGATCTGATTTTTCAGGCCATATAATATCTAATAGGATAAATAATTAAGAATTTCATTTGTGGAAATTATGCAAGATAGTTTAACAGCTTTTATTCCTCAAATATGTATTTTTGAGACCAAATTTTCATGATGAAGTAAAAAGTTGAGTCCACATTGTTTTGTTTCAAAAAAAGAAATTGAAATCCTTGTTAATTTTTATAATCCTTAAAACTCTTTAAAACCTTGGTTATCATATTTTCAAAACCTCAAATTTATACCTACCTACCATAGCCATGTTTAAAAGATATCATGCATACTTAACATCTTAGATTATTTAAACTTTTTACTGTCAATGAAAAACCAAGGAGGAAGTGAAACGTTCTTAGTGAATGCTGGGTATTTCTAAATTTTTTAACTGACTGAATTTGTCTCCATCATGTACTTTCTCATGGTCACCAGTGACCCCCAGTTACCAAGTCAGTGACTTTTACCAATTCCTTCTGCATTCTAACCCCTCTGTAGCATCTGCCCCTCCTCGGTCATTTCTCCGATGCTCTCTTGATTTACATTTGCTGAGACCCACTACACAATCCCAATTCTTCCCCATCCCTGACAGTGCCTTAGACTTCTTCAAGACTGTCTTTGTCTTTATGTCCCTTGAGCCCTGGCATTCAGCCCCTTGAGAAGGACTTTTAACCTGAACTATGGTCATGAATTCGGAGTGATTTAGAGGTGAGCTCTGGAAGCAAGAAGATGAATAAAATTAGTCTAGTTTTATTTATTTGACTGAGTAGACCTAGATTTTATGTTGCTAAAATTAAATAATAATGATCTTTCCCTCAAAGATTTCCACAGATAAAAAATTTTTAATTTAAGTTGTTAAATAGAATTTACTGAATTGTCAGTTTTTCTCCTATAAGTTTTTTTGTACTTTTGGTATGCTCAATCGCCTATATAGTAATGAACACCAGCAATTAAAATGAACACGTTCACAAGTATTTTATGGTGTACTGTATAATGCATCTTAGCTCAAATACTCCATCACTTGAATGTGTGTGAAGATCACTGTTCCAGCTCATGGGCCTGGTTCTATACAATACACTTGAACTGGGCTGCACTTTTAGTCCAGACCCACACTCCTGAAGTCACATTCCAAAATGTCTGTTGTCTGGCCTCAAAATTCCTTCTCACCCAACTCCTAGAAACTGGGGTTCACACAAAGAAAAGAGACCAGAATGGGAAGGGGCTTTAAACAACACCAAGAGAAACAACTGAGGAAGCCTGTGAAAAAGAAGACAGTACAGGGCATGTGAAAGAGGTCTTCATACATATGTGTAAAAGAAATTACATCTACTATGAATACAGAAGGCGAATCTAAGACCAGTGTGCAAGAGTTCTAGTAGAGCTATTTAAAAATGAAGTGCAGCCTCAGGAAGAGGTCATGCGTTTCTGGTTGCTGGAGATATTCAAGAAGCAAAGGCTAAATGAACTTTTGTCATAGTTCTAACAAATGTGGTTCATCTCTTGGGTTGAGATTTGAACTTCCAAATCTAAATGATACCTTCCTCTCCTTCCTCTTTTCCTCTTTTTTAGAGGAAGGAGACCTAAATTAGCATAAAGAAATGAATTCAGAGACAGGGACAAATATAGAATCAGGTAGGTAGATAAAACTATAGATGATGACATTGGAGTTGGAACAGGAGGAGAGTCGATGAGGATCCTTGGAAGAGAAGTGTAAAGCAGGTGACTGATGAAAGAGAAGGGTAAAGTGGGGCAAGGCAGAGGAAGACATCAGGAGAGGTGAGAAATGACCTGTGTCAGGGTGCAGAGAAAGAAGTGGGTCGTGTGTCTAAAGAAGATGGTAGCATTTTACCCAGAGAGGAAGGTGTAAGCCGGAGGATCATATACATGGGATCATAGGACATTTAAATTTCAACAGAGGAACTTGGGTATAGGTCTTTGTTCACTGGAAAGGAGAACGGAGAAAGAAGACATGCCAAAGCAATGGGAACAATCTCCCAACTTAAAAATTTTCTCTTAAAAAGAGAAAACCTACAACTTCTTGGTGAAGAGTGTAAAAGCTAATTTACCACATTTGCAGATGTTTGAAGACATTCCACGATTGATTTCTGCTTTTAAGCTACTTTTATACTTTGACCTCTGGAGCATCTTTCCAAATGTATCTCTTTAGTCACCAAAGGCCTTTCTCCCTTTCAGGCGGAAGGCCTCAGGCTACACAAGGACCTGAAGAACTTCCTTAGTGCAGTCAAAGGTGGGTATTGCAACGTGGGCAGATACAGAGAGTATTCATGCAGCTAGTAAGAGGTCTGGGGGACAGAAGAAACAACGATGCTCAGGCTTTTGTCACTTGCCTGCCTCTGACTCCTGGAACTTTGTGGACCAGGAAGAGTAACTTTTCCTATCTCAGCCCCATCCAACTCAGTGATAACCCAAACCTTCTGAGTTTGTCCTTCTGAATTGGACCCACTGATTTGCCTGTCACCCATGTGATCATTCCAAAATAGTTTTTAAGAAACGTTTTGGTAGGATTGAGTTCTCTCTTTTCAGTGATGCATGAAAGTTCAAAGAAAGTGTCAGAAACCCTGCAAGAGATCTACAGCAGCGAGTGGGATGGTCACGAGGAGCTAAAGGCCATTGTCGGGGTAAGAGTGTTTCGGGCTTTACAACTCTTCACAACGCTCTCCTACCCTCATCTTAACCTCATAGGTGGAAGGGAAAAGCTGTAACTGTGAAAGTAAAAACGAACTTTCCCTAATCTGTGTGGACTGCTCTGCTTTGACTCTCTTTTCTCTCTTTAAAACCTTATAGAAGTTTTACCTACATAAAACCTGATTGGTTGTTTTTTGAAAACTAATTTCATGTAGTTATTTATTCCCAAACTTCCCCATTCTTTAAGCACTAGAGTTGAAGACTCAGACCATCTGTTCCTGTTCTTAATTCTTGAATGTACCTCCAGTCTCTTATAAGGAAGTTCCTTGGGGAAGGGCTATTTTCTCCATCTGACTCTTCCCCCCAGAATCCAACATGATATTCTAAATACAATTCTCCAGAAAGGAAGTCTGTTGCAGGAAGAATTTGGGTATTTCCCCAATAGGCAGTTGTTGTTGAGAAGTAGAGCCTTCACCATGCTCCTCTGCCTCTATCCCACAGAATAATGATCTCCTTTGGGAAGACTATGAAGAGAAACTAGCTGACCAGGCTTTGAGGACCATGGAAAACTATGTAGCCCAGTTCAGCGAGATTAAGGTACTCAATTTACAAAATCAAGGAGGGGTGATGAGTGGCGTGTATTAGTTAGAGGCCATATTGGGTTAAACATTATAAGTAGAGTTAACGCTCATAGTTAGGAATGAAGTCGGGTAGGTTCAGAGAAGGATTAAAGTTGAGGGCTAGACAAGAGGTTAGGATAAAGGGTTAAAGGTAGTGTGAAGGTTATGTTTAGACGTAGATTTCAGTGAACTAGATTTGGGCTGGTTTTAAATTAGATCTAGGACAGAGCATCATTTTAGTTATGAGAAACAACTAATGGGACCAGAAGATGTTCACTGCTCAGAAGCAGAAACTTAGAGGAGTCATAATAATTATCTTCAAAAACTTTGAAGGTGAAAGAGAATTGAGCCAGTTTTAAACTGTTCCAGAAAGTAGAATTGAAGTTCATGTATTCATTTAACTCATATTTAGTCTAACAGACACTTATTTGAGATTAATAGGAAGAAATGAGAGGGAACCTTAAGTTTCTAATAGTTAAAGCTTTCCAAAAATGAAATAAAATGAAATATACTATGAGATAGTGGGTTGTCTATTCTGTTTAAATAAAAGTCAAACTACCTCTTATCTTGGATATTGTAGAGAAGCTTCATGTATTGCATAGGAAGTTGGACTAGATAATGGCTAAGATACTTTCAAATTCTGTGACTGAGAGAATGAGACAGATCAATAACATTGTTTTCTTCTCTCTGGTATAATTCATAGTTTGGATGAGATTGAGTAGACTTTTCTCACTGCTCATTTTTATTGCTTTAGGATTTTCAAAATACTTTATATTCAGCATTTGATCTTTAAAATAACACTATAGGGCAGATGAGGTTACTGAGGCTCCAAAAGAGATGGGCTTTGCCCTAGGTCACAAGGCTAATAAATGGCAGTATTGGGAAGAGGACCCAAAACTCCTGCTTTTAAATTTCATAGGATTCTCAAGATCATTTCTCCTGAGGGCTGAACCAGTTTATAGTGAATTCATAGAAAATATTAATATTTAATGCAGGCTTCCATTTGCTCTGTTAGGATTGTCCTTTTCTCTAGTTGCCT